CGACTGCCTACATACCAACCATGAGGGAAAATACTTCTTATCTGACTTTCATTTGGAGAGAATTCCGAATTTGTGGAATGCGGTGGGTAGCGTGTTTGAGAAGGTAAGTTGACGCCTCGAGGTGCGCATATACTACTGACAAATGGCAGTAGACACAGCACCTTATTCAAACGTGAGAGCACAAATAGCGTCTCCAATTGCTAGTGAAATGTTTGTTGAGGCAAAATTTAGTTGGGTACGGCATTCTAGGTATGCTAACAGAATTTGCTGATAACTCTAGAAGTGGTTTGACACAGTGCATTGAATTGCCTCTTCTGTTTATTATAGAAAAGGATCTTATTTCTCAGCATTTTATGGGCAATAATGTGAGGGCCGACAACTCAGTTGAAACTAACTCGTCCTCCTTACTAAACTTCAACATCACTCACACCTCAACCCAAAGTAACAGGAAGGCACGTTAAATGCTAACATCATAGTTAACCTTACTAGTGCCATAATTTTATTTCCTTTAACCTTACTATAACAATCAGAAGACGGCATAGTTTGCATAGTCTGCATAGTTTCGGTAGAAGAGGAAAGCGAAGTAGTCAGCAAATGGAGGACTGGAAGAGACAGTGACGGAGGAAGTGGAGGAGGCGACAGGAGGGAATGATTGACCGATGGGATGGTGGGGATACAGTCCCTCCTCCTTCTCCTCCTTCCTGTTCACAACCGAGTGGTCCTAGTAGAGAAGACGGTGGTCAACAGGCACCGGTGTGGACATTAATCTTACACAGACATGGCGTTTGAGTTCGTCAAGCCTAGGATGCTACTGCGAAACGGTAAGTAGCATGTAAGTGCACTGGACCCTCTTTACTGTGCTTAATACGATTCAACAGTCGACCTCTGCTTCAAGGGTCATTAACATTAGATTGTCTATTCCCTTATTTGAGATACTATAGAGAAATAAACAGGCATACTTGAAGAAATGAACCGAACAAATGAACAATAGAAATTATGGCGGCCCATCTAACCAGATATTACTTCCATTTTTTTTTCAAGACAGCACAATGTCTCACCTTGTAACAATTGAGGAACTGAGAGAGGCACGAAATAACCTTCGCTGACTCTGCAGATGGTAGAATTGTGGATCACATCACCACTTCCGTTCCACTGCTCCCACTCGCCCCAGTTACTGATGTTATTGGCGCCAGTTATGAGAGGCTTGAGTAGATGCAAAAAGACATGAGTGCAGGCACCACTGGAGGCGACGTGAGAGACGATGTATCCGAGGCAACAGTCACTGATACACACCAGGAAACTGTTACCCAGTTGACCGTGGATAAGTGCTTCTGAGGGAAGGCGTTTCAGGGTAATGGGAAGAAATGGCTCAGTAGAGACATAGATGTAGGGCATCTACTTTAAACACTATGTTCCTCAAAATGGGTTCATATTACAGTTTTCAAAGTGGATGATCCAAGTTTGAACAGTTGGTTAGTTTGCTTGACATGGATGATGCTCTAATCAAAGGGAGACAATATTTCAATTAGTTGCTTGGGCTATTTCCACACCCATCTCATTGTCTACCTAGTGTCTGGAAGGCGCCTCTAATGCGAAAGCATTGATTAGTGCTCCAGAATACCGGCCTGTTCAGATGATGCGTCCGCACGCTTCCAAATCACTCTCATGGCACGAGTGAATCATGTGTTGACCTTTAGCGGTGGTAGCTGTCACGCCTTAAGCATAAAACTTCACTGATTGACAAAAAATCGACAGCAAAACTGCCAAATAGGCGGCAAAACACTTAGTAAAAGCATTTTACATTAATGTAAAGGTGTAATCAGCAGCATCGAAATTAAGTACGCTTTTAGTAGTTTAGAGCCGTCCGTGGCACCTAAGTGTGACACATAAACTTCCTTGCTTAAAAAAGCAAGTTTTACATTCCTGGGATATCAAATCAAAAGGAGAGCAATTAAAATTGATAAAAAGGGGGAAGGTTAACCGATTGTAGTGTCATATATGCAAAATTACCTGGCCACCGGTAGTTCATCGACATCTGTGACCTACATGTCACCTACACCACGAAGGCATTTAGTGTTTCTTTTTGCAGTTGCCCGCTTTTGCCTACTTTTTTGAATTTGATCTCATAATTGTCCGAATGACGCACTTTTCCACCCTCCACTATACGCAAAGGAAATTTGGAGTGGTAACAATTATTTGAAGCATGCGGTCCAATTACGGTGCTTGGGGAAAGCCATGATTTATGAAAGGACATTTGAATTCACTTATTTGGTAGTCACTCTTCTCATGTAATGTAGTAGCATAGTCAAGTCCACCTTGATAAGACCTGCTTCCCTAAGCCAAAGAAGCACTGGTGCTAGCCACCTCCACTTCTCCCATTTCACTTCCATGCACAACCGTCTATTCCATTTAGCACGCTGACCATGCCATTGTCTCTCACCAGCACTAGTGCCACCTAAGGACAATGTCTAACTGAAGGGGTGTCAAGGCAATACGGGGGAAGGAAATGTGGGTAGAAGACCCTGGATACCCATCAATCGCTTTGGTCAAACCGACATTGCATAAATGTGGGCATATAATTGGTCGAAAGTAGGCTACCGAATCGGTTCGCTGGCGGCTATGATGCCCACACGCAACCAATAACAAGTGTCTACAAATCCCCAAAGGACATTATCACAAATAATTTTAGCGGGCTACATCGAAGACACGACGAACTTTGCATACATTTCATCAGAATAAGTTTATCTTCATTGATTTTACTTTTGTTGAATTCGCTTGGAATTATGGGGATATTTCTTACGGAAGCCTATTTTTCAGTGCTTCATCAATGACTGCGTATTTGACCTTTTATACTTAACCAGGATTCGAGCAATTGGTCACGTAAAAATGGGTGTATGCACATGCTTTACGAAGGTAGCATCCAGA